TATGGTTTTGAGCGCGCAAACAGATAGCCATGTTGTAATGTACCGTACTACGCGTGTCCGAGGATGCCATGGTACGGTATGACAAATTTACGGCGGATTCCTACGAAGTTGGATCTACTCATTGTTGGACCTAGAGTCTAGACCCACCAAAGCCGGCTCTGCGTAATGCAACAACGCGGATCTGACAACCCGCGTTATAAATTCTCATTGCATGGCATCCTGATTGGTTGAGCGATTCGACAAACTTGACAGAAAGCGGGCGGTGTGCGACTGTATCAGGCGGCTAGCTGTGTTGTGAAGTGAACTAGCTAGGAACGAGAAGGCCGCCATGAAATGACGGCCAAGAGTTAGCTAGGAAGATTTGACGAGAGAAAAGAGAGTGTTCGATTAGGAAGAGAGGGGTACAAGGAGGGGATTGTACCCTCTACAATACGGTTCAGTAACAACTACCAAGCCTATCAATTATATATAACTTCTATAATTTTAACACACCCCCTAGGCTTGGTAGTCACACACCCCCACACCCCCTAACCTAGCACCCCCATTCCCAGCAGTCACAACTATTCCAGCAGGGCCGACCCCAGGGCCCTGGAGATGGCGACGGCGGCAGACCCGGCAGCGGCCACAGCGACGGCGACGACGGGCGTGCGGCGGCAACAGGCCTGCGGCGACGGCGACGGCTTCGGCTTACGGTGGCGGGCGTGCAGCGGCCCCCGCCCTTCCGGCGGCGTGTCCATACTCCGCGACAGGGGGGACGACCGGCGAGAGACTGGCGACGGCTGAGACGAAGAGGAGAGGACCGAGGAAAGGGGGGAAGGGGCGGAGCTACAGATTCTTCAGCGCGGCGCCATTGCTGGCGCCACGCTTACTGGCGGGAGGGCGGGCTGCTTTTCAGCAGCGACGCAAGACGTGCGCGTCGGCACCAGGCCGACGACGCACCACGGAACTACGACGGCGCCACCACAGCGCGGCGTCGTCGCTGCAGCTGCTCGTTGACGCTGAGACGGTGGCACTAAAAGAAGCCGCCGCGGCATCTCGGAGAAGCTGCCACGGCGGCAGGAAGTCGGAAGGCAGTGAACGAGAACACAGCGGAAACGCGGAGGGGAGCAGGCCCAGGAAGGGCGTCCTGCTCTCGATACCATGTTGTGAAGTGAACTAGCTAGGAACGAGAAGGCCGCCATGAAATGACGGCCAAGAGTTAGCTAGGAAGATTTGACGAGAGAAAAGAGAGTGTTCGATTAGGAAGAGAGAGGGGTACAAGGAGGGGATTGTACCCTCTACAATATGGTTCAGTAACAACTACCAAGCCTATCAATTGTATGTAACTTATATAATTTTAACAAGCTGGTGTTGGAAATGATAAAAGTGTCGAGCTCAAAGACAGGCATGCGACGGCGAGCCATGGCGTACCAGTCAGGAGGGTCCAACGTGGGACCAAAGCGGTGGCGGAAAAGGTCGTCCAGGCGGCGGTAGTAGTGGTCGGCGGTGTGGCCGGACCGGGACCAGACGGTGCCGCGGCGGGGGCCGGTCTGAATCTGGTACTGACAGGTGACCGCACTGGAGCCGCCACCTGACACCGAGCTACAGCCGCCACCACCACGACCACCGCCACCAGTGCCGCCAGTCCTCCACGGCGGCGGGGGTCCCCACAGCGACTGCTGCTGCGGCTGCTGCTGCTGCTGCTGAGGCTGCGTCTGCTGTTGCTGCTGCTCCGGGGCACCAGCCCCAGGCCCCTCGTCCGAAGCCCCCACTCCGCCCCCACCTCCTCCAACCTCCCCAGCCCCACCCCCCACTGGGAGGGAGCACAGCCCCAAAGATAGGGACCGGCGCAGTACCGCTAGACTGAGCGATAGTGCGCTGGCGGGTCTCTATCGCAGACAGGGCGGTGACAAAGGCGGGGAGGGTGAGGTCACCCGGGTGCTGACTAAGAAGAGGAAGAGATACAAGAAGGGGGGGTTGTCCCCTCTACAGTAGGATCCAGTAATGTAGCACATCTACCAAGCCTAAACAAATATATATATATATATATATATAAATATAAAATTTGACACACACCCTAGGCTTGGTAGTGGCGAACCCACCCCACACGCAGCACCCCCATGCCCTGCAGCAGCTGTGGCGTCGACCAGCCGGTCGACCCCTTGGCAATCGAGGTGGCGAAGTCGACGGTGGGTCGCAGCGGCGGTGGCGGCAGCGGCAGGGCTTGCAGCACCTGCGTCGAGGCACCCGGCGGCGGCGGCGGCGGCGGCGCCCGAGGCACCCGGCGACGTGGCTCACACTGCGACGACGAAGGGGAGGACAGCACGAGGCCGCCAGCAGCTGCGACGGGGAGGAGGGGAAAGGCAGAGGAGGGGAGGGGGGGGGGGACGAATCTTCAGCGAGGCGCCATGGCTGGCGCGGCGCTTACTGGCGTGCGGGAGAGTTGGACGGCGCTAAAACCGGGCGCTGGCCGCTGCTGTCCGTGCGCTGGCGCGTCGACGCCGCTACGGCAGCACGACGATGCCACCAGGCCTGGCGTCGATGCCACGAGGCCTGGCGTCGATGCCACGGCAGCGCATTGGGGCTGCCAGGGCAGTGGATAAAGGCTGCCGTGGCAGCACAACATGGCCGCCACACCGGCGCGTAAGTGATGGGAGAGGTGAGAGGACGCTGCGGAAGCGTGATGACCGGCAGGATCGGACTGCTCTGGTACCATGTCGTGCCTGTCTTTGAGCTCGACATGGTATCGGACAAAAAGAGCTCATGATATTTCTGGAGTCTCGCATGAGTGTACGAATACGCGAAGGCTGTAACAGCGAGGATCACCGAGTCAATACAGCTACAGTACTACCGACAGTTGACACAGTTACGATACCCCGCAGAGGTTACAAAAGGGTAACGGTCGCAGACCGTTGACCGTGCAACCCAACAGTCAGAATGTAAGAATCAAGAGTCAGAGCGACAGCAAGGACAAATAACCGTCCCGATATTACAGTACGAGTGATTACCCGAGTCGCCTTATCGAGTCGTAAAAAGAAATGTACCCCTTGAAGTGCACATGCAATTAGAATTTTCACATTCCCCTGTATTATTATATAAACCTTGTATCCCTTTGTTATAATCAAGCGCTTGTTCTCACATACCAGTAAAGGGTTCAACTCAAGACTTCCGCTATGCTATCAAGCACTCTGTTACAAGGACTTAGTCTTCTGAAAAGATCCTAGGGCTATTCTCAGCCCAACATGGTATGAGAGCTAGTCGGAAGCTACGCTCCTGTTACAAACTCCCCCAGTGAGTTTCTAACGCGTTTGAAGAATCACTTGCTACAACTTCAGTTTATCAATCAAGGATACAAAGACATGGCGCCATCTAAGGGCGATGGATCCTCTACTAGATCCCCCTCTGCACCCCCAATCTCCGGACTACAGACTGAGGCAGTCGCAGCTGCAAGAGCCTCCACGCAACCAGTGGCTTCCTCCACGGGCATGGACCCGAATCTAATGGAGAAGTTCTCCTTCATGTCGACCTACGAGCAGTCTTCGGCACCTTCTCAATCGGCACACAGCAATTAAATGGGGCAGTCCCAATGAGCCTCGATGGCGCATCGTATGCAAAAGGCGCACAGCCTACACAACACCAATCCTACTAGCCCTCGCCAGGCTCGTTTACCTTCCTGTCGACTCCCGCACCAGCAGTGGACTCAGAGATAGCTGACAAGCAATCAGACATCGTCACCATGCAACAACAATTCAACAACATTCTGAAACTCCAGATCTCCTCACCTTTCACCGGGAAGGACTTCTTCGTTTGGAGCTTCAAGTTTGAGTTGCTGATGGACGGCGTGCAAATCCTTGGCTTCTTGGTTCCTGGCCCTTTCTTCTAAACGGGACTACTCAAGAGAAGAAGATCTACACTTATCAATCGTTGATGGCCTTCACCATCCTCTTGCGCAACCTGACATCAACAGAACAACAAAGCATTCGCACGTATCGCAACTTCGGCAACTCCGCCGTACTGGCATACTATCATCTGAAGAGCGTCTACCAAGCAATTGACAAAGTAACACAGAGCCGACTAATGGCACAACTCACGACAATCCAAATGCAACCAGAAGAAAAGGCGATGCTTTACATCAATCATTGCAGAGGCTTACGCGACAAGCTTCTACGAAGCGGAGGGCACTTATCGGAGGATTCGTTCGACACGGTCGTTCTTGCTGGTCTCGGTCCCCAGTGGCGTACGGCGTGTTCCCTTCTACGTGCTCACGGAATAATCTCCGAGATGCACTTGTGCGCGGAGCTCCACGCCGAACAGCAAGACATGGATTTGTACGAAGAACGACACTCCAAGAAACCAAGTCAGCAACTTGCATTCAACCATCAACAGAAGCGACACATACCCCCGTATTGTCCAAGGCAACAACAACAGCAGGAGCAGCAGCAGCCGCTGTATCAACCTCGAGCGCCACGCCCGTCACCAAATCTGATCGCTTCGACTCAGCATCGCCCACCAGCTCCGACGAACCGCCCTGCACAAGATGCACGAAATGTCATCAGATGCATGGCACGAGCAGATTTATGCGTCTCCCCGCCTCACAGCGATCTCGACGAACAACCCCCAGCCCCGACTCCAACTGAACCCGACTTACGCTGCAATAGCTCGCGACGAACCGTCCGGCCGCGACACATGGTTTTGTGACAGCTGCTGTGGACAACATATGTGTTCTTCAACACGCTTCGTCCAGCGCGAGAAAACTCTGAACCGAGACGTCGTTATTACTGTCCCCAACAACCAAAACCTGTGCACAAGGAAACAAGGGGTCGTTCAGTTACATTCCAGTGAGAAAAACGTGATACTACAGATGTCAAGAGTGCTCATCGTCGACAACCCTGGCTACAATCTACTAAGTAACAACCAGCTAATGTCGAAGGGCATTCACCTGGAGTGTGACAGCTTCGACCGGGAGTTCCGTCTCTACCACGAGAAGGGCGGTCACTTCATCGGCAGAGCCATCCAGAAGCATGGCGTCTTCGTCTTGGATTTCATTCTAGACCGCAGGACTGCTGACAGCGATGGCATCGTCTCCTTCGTGCCCTGGACGCACCCGCCGGATCTTGACCCCGGATTCGACCGCGATGGTTTCTGGTACTCCAACACCACCCCTGAAACAGAGAACACACGTGCCTTAGCAGTCATGCGAGAAGTAGAGGCACAAGAAGCAGAGGAACACGCGGCTGAACCACAAGCACCGACACAAGCACTTCCTGCCATTCCCATTGCTGGGACTTCGTCTGCGCCACCTGTCGAAGAAGCTCCGCCTGAAACAGATCCTGTTGACGAATCACCACCAACCGACGCCGAGCAGCAAAAGGCACATCCCCGCGATGC